GTTAGCTGCAATAATTTATAAACTTGTGTCAGAATATTATAGCTTATGAATTGAAATATATATTTTGTCATTATTGACTGAGTTATGTTTACATGAAGAGAGTAAGGTTAAAGTATAATATATGTTACTGTCTTTGCTCCCAGGCTGAATGTGAGGCCTCAAATTTCTACTATTTGCCTTCCGGTCTGTGCCGAAGTTATTCTGTAACTCTGCTGCCATCTAGCGTCATAAACTGTAAGTACAGGTGCGCGTAGTTGCAGATCCGTCTTTATGAAGACTTTTTAAAGTGGGTTTACTTTTATTTCTAAATCATATAATGCCTGAATATGTTACAGGAGTCAAGAATAATTAGGTGAAACTAGAGTAAAGAGATCCATAATACAAGGTTTTGTTTCATTTTATGTTAAGTAACATGTAAGAAGGTCTTTCTGCTTCACTTTGGAGATCCATCCATCCATGATCTTTACCAGCTTCTTTCTTTCCGGGTCACGGGGGTCACTGGTGCTCATATCCAGCAGTCACTGTGTGAGAGGCGGGGGACACCCTGGACAGGTCTCCAGTCCATCACATGGACACATAGAGACAAACGAGACAAACAACCATTCACTCTCTCACTCACACCTAGAGACAATTTAGAGTTACCAATCAGCCTAACATGCATGTTTTTGGTCTGTGGGAGGAAACTGGCAAAGGCTACCCAGAGAAATCCTGTGCATGCACAGAGAGAACATGAAAACTCCTAGAAAAGCAGTAAAATTGAGTCATTACTATAAGGTTTTTGGTATATATTTTAATTTATTTATGTATTCATATTTTATAATTTAATTTTGGTTTAATTGTAACAATGTGTCATTGTTACTTCCTCCTTCATTTCTAGAATGTCTTCTACATGATACATCTTCTTTTACTTCCTGGTTTGCTCCTGATTGTCTTAAGTGTTATTCCCCAGTCTTCACACCGCTCACCCTCTTATTTGATGAATTGCAATTGGTATCTGGTCCAGTGCCCTTTGGTGTTTAGGCACAAAACACCAGGGTGTTGTTTATTTAGTCAAGAAACCCTTAAAACCTCCCACAAAGTTCTTATAACCAAGCACTTCTGTGTTTTCTTTGTCTTGTGATCATTTAAAAAAATATCCACTGAGGTAGAATGATGAAAAATCCAACAGTTTAATTATTTCTCATACTTTGCTTCTTTAATCAATAATTTTGTGAACAGGATGCAGCTTATGGTGTCAAAATTCAGCAGCAAGCAGATACATCCATCGTAAAAAGGAAAAAAAAAAAAAAAAAGAGAAAAATTAAAATAAAACTAAATTATAAATAAGACACCTTCACACCAACCCCTTTGTCCTTACGACCACAGCAATTGCAATAAAAATACTTGAATCTTGATTAAGACAGAGAAATTGTGAATGTCTTGAACAATGTGGTGGTCACTGGTGTCAGAAACATTCATAATGTGTGAAGGGACACAATGGTGGGGGGTCTGGGGGTCCTCCCCCAGAAAATTTTGAATAAAGTAGATGCCATTTCCTGCAGTCTGGTGTATTTTAAAGGATTATTAAACATCTACGTTTACAAGTAAACACTTGAATCAATAACTATTTAACCACTAGACTGAGGAACAGCTTCTACCCTGAGGCTGTTAGACTCATGAATCTCTAACCAGAATAATCACTGTGAAGAATCACATGATGTTGCTGCTGATCTGTTTCATGCTGCTGCTGATCTGTTTCATGCTGCTGTTGATCTGTTTCATGCTGCTGCTGATCTGTTTCATGCTGCTGTTGATCTGTTTCATGCTGCTGTTGATCTGTTTCATGCTGCTGTTGATCTGTTTCATGCTGCTGCTGATCTGTTTCATGCTGCTGCTGATCTGTTTCATGCTGCTGTGTTCATGCGTGCTCATCTGCTCACACAGACTCATGTTCGTTCTGCTGTTCGTCGTATTGCTTTTGTACTAGAAGTGCTTAGTGTAGTTTTAGTTGATGTTTTTCTTAGTTCATATCTTAGATTTTATTACTGTTTTTCTTTTACATTTTATACTTTTGTTGGATGTAACTGGGACCCTGTGTGCACAATTTGGTTCCACCACATGTGCCATATGTGGTGGAACGACAAATAAAGAACCTCTGACTCTCTGACTGTATGTTAGAGAGCTCGGCACAACAAGAAATAGTGCCGTAGAGCTCTGCTTTACATTATACAACCTTTTGTACCACGTTGTACAAAATCAGTTTAGTGTTAACAACAAAGACTAAACTTAAGCAACCAGAACTTGCAACAACACAAAACAGCACAACTAGCTTTCAGCATTAAACTTTAATTTAACCATTAAGTTTACCTGCAGTTATCTTTGTACAAACAAACGTGATACTTCCTGTTTATCACTTGTATTCAGCTCATGAGGTCAGCCGCAGGGCTTTATCCATATTGTAAATTTTTCCAGACTCAGTTTAGGTTTTGGAAATAGAATAAACTGTATTCCACCCTCAGCAGCAGGGTTATTAACAGAACTGCTCAGGGGGGCACAGTTACTGAAAGCCAGCAGCTCAGGAGCCGGACATCCAGCAAATACAGTCATTATAAACTAAGTATTACAACGATCTGTTACCTTTTAAATTTGTTTATTTTGTTGCATTGAATTATAAATGCAATAAGCAGAACCTAAAACTCAAACCCAGAACCCCCCCTTCCCCCAGAAAAATAAAATAAAATAAAAAATAAAATACTTTATTTTTCAGGGGTGCTGGGTTAAAATGTAGGGGTGCTTGAGCACCCCCAAAAAGAGAGGCTACAATTGCTTCTGCATCAGACCACAAATATATATTTGATTATAAAAAGTGATTATATCAAGATTATGTATTAAAGACTCAGAACAATCACTTAAGTATAGGCACACAACAAATGTCTTCATGTTGTGCACTGATTGCTTTGATTATTACATGTTTGATAATTCTGAATTTGATTTCATCTCTTCAGATTAAGCGGTCTCAACTCCTTTCTTTATTCACTTTAAACAGACACACATTTTTTATTAACATATTGCACACTAAAATAACCCTTTTTCACTTATAATACTCCTTTTTTTAATCTACTAACTCCTTCACTGGCCCAACCGGGTTTTTGGGGCTGATCTCAAAGCACATTTCTTGACAAAGTGAATAGTTATAAAAACAACATAAATAGGTTTATAATCTCAAAATACTCACTCTAAATAAATCTAAATCTATATTCCAGATCTTACTGTTTCATATTTTCCTCACAGAGCACTTTCCTCTCAGACTGCAGGCTTACTTGTGGCTCCTAGAGTTTCCAAGAGCAGAATGCGAGGCAGATCTTTCAGTTATCAGGCTCCTCTCTTGAGGAACCAGCTTCCAGTTTCTGTCTGTGAGGCTGACACATTGTCCAGATTAAGACTGGACTCAAGACTTTCCTTTTTGATAAATCCTATAGTTAGGGTAGGCTTGGTTTCCTGACCTATCTCTTATCCTATACTGCATTTAGGCTTAGACTACTGGAGGACAAATTGAACTCATTTCATCAAATAGTGGCAAATGAACACAATTGAATTTAATTTGTAATTATTTATATCCTAACAAGTTTTTTGCTTGTCTTTGCTCCTATAGTGAGGACCTGTTCTCCTGCTCGCCTCCATTCTGAGCTGCCATTCTGTGTCTGTTTCTCCTTCCTGTCCTCTCAAACGCAGTCTGTTGAAACGGATGGCCACTCGTCCTGAGCCTGGTTCTGCTGGAGGTTTCTTCCTGTTAAAAGGGAGTTTTTCCTTTCCACTGTTGCCTTGTGCTTGCTCAAAATGGGAGACTTACCTGGTAGACTCAACACATTTTCTGATGGCTACCCTACCTTAGATAAATGTTACTAATTGTATTTTATTTACGTGAATGTTGTTGTTCAGTGCTCTGAGACAACATCTGTTGTGACTTGGTACTATACAAATAAACTGAATTGAATTTAATTAAATTTTGTGCGTGAGAGAGTGAATGGTTGTTTGTCTTGTTTGTCTCTATGTGTCCCAGTGATGGACTGGAGACCTGCCCAAGGTGTCCCCCCAGCCTCTCACACAGTGACTGCTGGATATGGGTACCAGTGACCCCCACGGTCTGCAAAGGAAAAAGTGAGTAAAGATAATGGATGGATTTCTGTGTGAGGGTTTAAACTGTAATTCTTGTCCACCAGCAGGTGGCACACAGAGATGACCCCCTGCAGGTTTCACTCAGTCCACTGTAAAATTAACTTGTTTCTAATTCCAGCAGCTACATACCCAATGCCTTTTTAAAATCACTTAGCATGAGCACATTTTAAACAAGTAAAATAAAACATTTCAGTGCTGAAGCAAAGTATTTGTCATTTTAAAGAGAAAACAATCAGAATTAAGTGTCTTTGATATTTCAGGATTTGATGCCATCGTTGATTTAATCCTTCTGTATTTATGGTGGCTGTGGAATAAAAAGAGAACTCGTGATGTATGTCATTATATTTTTCTTTTATTATGTTTTGTTTATAATCAAAAAGCAAGAAAATATACTCTTTATTTCCAGAATTAATAAATATACAATTTTTCTTTATGAACAAAATGCACAATTTACAAAGTGTTGACTGAGCGCTCCAACTCATACACAACATGCTTATCACAAAGTTATAACTCTCGTTATTATTATGTGCTATTCTCATTATTAAAGTTACTATTTCTATACAGTAATACAGTTTCATTAGGTAAAAGACTCCAACTCGTCTAAACTGTTCACGTGTTTTTAATACTTTCATGAGGTTCAAACGTTTCCTTCTACAGTTAATCCATCGCTCGTGTCGGTGTTTTTACACAAAGTTGTGAACTCAGTGAATGTAAGGACTCTGTGTTCGGAGCAGAGCTGTCCCTCTGCTGGACTGTCCCACCTGAAGACACGTCCTAAACAGAGTCTGCCTGCTCTGATGAGAGCTGTCCTGTGTTTGTCAGGTACATTCCTCCGCTCTGGTTTCCATGCAGTAGCTTCATTTAAGTGTTTCTGCCTGTGAGATGGTGTGTTTGAGTCATGAGGTGAGCAGCAGGTGTGATAACAGCCAGGCTAAAGCACACGGCGGCATGAGTGCAAAGTGAACCAGCTGGGCCGAGCTGCGGCTGTGCAGAGTGTGGGAGGGCGAAGCAGGGCGTCGCTCTGTGACGTAGGTCTCCATCCGCCTCTGCTGCTCTTGGTGGGACGGAGGAGGCTCCACTGTCATGTACCTGTTGATCATCTTCACAACAGGTGGGGGTGTGGTGCTGGGAGAGGGAAATAAACAGCAAATAATGATGCCATTAAACAGTTTGAAGCAGTGGAGCTGATTTTTCTGTGTCAGATGTTTTTCTATCTTTGGGAAAAATCTTTAGCCTCCTTTATTTGCAAATAAATAAAATATATTCCACTCTAATTACTGTACAAATACTGTTTAATGTAAAGTACAAACACATTGAATGATTTCATTCTCTTCTGTTTTACATGATTGATTTTTTCCTCTGTCTTTTTGATGAAATTGTTTTCTTTCTTTTAAATGAATGAATAAATTAATTAAATAAATAAAAAATAAACATGCGACCAGTCCCACATCAGTTTCCTACCTAAACACCAATCTACTATACTGTCTTGAGCTATACCCTTTCAGTTTTATGAAACTTTTAGACTTTCTAAAATACTTTGGCAACTTTTTCACTCATTTTCTGTCCAGCAACAGATTAATATATGTTTTTTATTTAATTAATTTGTTTGTACTTCCTTAAAACACACTGACGTATGAATCACCGAGGCATGAAAAGACCCCTGAGCTGGAGAAATGAGCCTGTGTTGACACATAACTTAGCAAGCAACTGGTTTTACATGTGAATTTTAAGGTGATTGTTATCAGCATCTTGTCAGTTTAACAGACATGAAGTGATATTTCAGGACCAGCATCTTTCAGGTTCTGTGTCAGGTCTTTGTTACATGTTTATTTTAATTTTTAGGATGTAATATTTCAGACATTATTCCTCTGCTCTAGATTTTTTTTAGGCCTGACCATTTTTTTTTATCCATTTGTACACTTTGCCCATGTTTTGCACCTCACAGAACAAAATGCTGTCATGGTCAGGTACAAGGACTGGACAGAAAATGTATAAAAAGGAAGAAAAATCCCAAATAAAAACTGTAAAAGACTTTCGGAACGTCTCAAGAACTATTGATCAAAAACACTTTAAAATACAACAAAGTGTCTCTTTAGAAGTGGTAAATTCAAACTTTTACACTCCACCATAAAGTTAATTGAAACTTTAAAAACATTTCTTAACTTGTTTTATTCAGCTGATGTCAATATCTTTTCAGAGCTTCAAATCAGTCACAGCCGACTTATCCAAAAGGATTCCTCACCCATCCCCGAGGCGGACCCACAGGTCGCTGAAGAGGCGTGGCCTCCTGTGGCCACGGTGAGCCTTTCTGGGTCGTTTGTACCGTCCAAACTCTTCTAGCTGGCTCAGGGTGTCGGGGAGAGGCATGTGAGGCAGGTCGTCACCTTCAAGGCCAGTGTTGTCCTCTGGATCCAGCTCCATCTGTGAACTGGTTGGTAAACTGGTGGGAGTCACTGTGCTCATGTCCTGGTTTGAACCTGTTGCAGACTCCTGTAGATCTTGCTTATTACTGGGAAAGAGAAAAAGCAGACAAAAAGGAATGATTAAAAAAAATTCAATACATAAAACAGCATAATCAGTGGCTGCGCTAAAACAATTTACTGACACAGTGAACAGGAAATAAGAACTGGTAATGTTATTGTTGTACTTTCCCCTGCAGTTTTTAGCCTGCTGCTAGTGAATGTTATTTTTGTGGTTTTTGAACACTCAATTGCGTTCCACTTCCAACCCATAACTTTAGTCAAGGACATGAAGGGAAGCTTTGCCTTGTTAATTCTGCCCTGAGTGGCTGAAATACCCAGCAGGCAACATTAGGGGAAAGTTTAACGCTCATGGTCTCCATATGTCATCTATAAGACTAACATTTGACCAAAAAAGACCACCCAGAACCTCACTGAAAACTTTACGCATGCTCGTCTCTCTTTCAACCATTATTCAAACTTTTTTTTCTTGTCATTATGGGACTGAATGGGGCTTTGTGTTTCATGGTGGATAAAGAATAAGGATTTTTTTTTTTTCAACAATTTTTCAGTCACTATTTCCACCGGGACGTTTCACTAATGATAAGTTTTATCTCTTTGGTTATTTTAAATTTGATAGTTTCCATTTCAGGACCTGGCGGTTAGGTCAGAGTGATGATAGCTTCTGGTCTGCGGTCCAGCTACTGTTCAGCCAAACTCAGCTCTGCTCTGTGCTGTCTGTCATTTTCCTAACTTTATTGCTCTTACAGAAATTTTTGCCAATCACTTTGACACACTCCAGGTCTGGGGCCTGCAGCTTTCATAAACACCCGTCATGCAGGCATAATGTGGTCTTTTTCCACCCGACACATCACCTTGGACTAAAAGTGTGCATGTGTGTGTGTGTGTGTAGTATGTACTAGTATTTTGTGCCACAACATGTCAGTCACTTGTCAGCTTTAAAACCATAAACTGGTAACTGGACAGGTTGGGTGGAAGGAGGCAGTGAGGCTGTTTTTACAACTGTAGTCTGCAGTAATACATTTGATGTACAGATAGTGATGTTTCTATCACCATTAACCAGAGGAATACAAAAATACAGAGCCTACAGAAAGGCTTTTGTGTGTGTGGGGGGGGGGGGGGGGGAGGGGGGTGCAAAAAAGTATGAGCAACATTTTCTGCTGGATCTTCGTAACAACATGTCTTGTCACAGTAAACACTTGCTGAGTGTACTGGGTGAATTGGACTCCTTCGTCAAGCAAGCTAGAGGAGGAGCTCGACTGCAGCTGAAGTGTTACCAGCGAGGAGACGCTGCTGTGTTCCAGGATGCAGAAGCAAAGAGGAGTTAATGCTAAGTTGAGAGCTAACCCATGCTAACGAATGTTCACTCTCTGGACAATCGAATGGATTACATCAGATTGTGAGTTTCTTTAAGAAAAGTGTCCCAGTTCTTTTAGCAATGGTTAGGGTGAAGCAGTCTGTGGCTTTTTAGCAGAGTCACACTTGTTATGATCCACTCAAAGTAAATAATAGGGATGCACTGATCCACATTTTTTTAACTTCCGATACAATCCCGATACCTAAATCTGGGTGTCAGACGATACCGATACCGTCCCGATATCATCATCATTATTGATTTTATATGAGTCTGTAATAATCTCCTCTCTATAGGCAAGTACAATTTGTACAAATATATGCATGTCCAAAAAGGCAACATGACGTAAGTTTTATTGATGTTAGATAAGTTTCAAAGTTAGAATTAAATCCAGTTAACACAAAACATTTATTTTTATTTTTATTATTATTATTCCTAGCTTTAAAGTGGATATTAAAGTGATTTGATGCTAAGTTCATGGCATAAACCAACACGGACATGTTCCTGTTTTTATATTTTACCTCTTTATAATGTGGCTGTTTTTGTTCAGTTTTTTTCTATAAATAATTTTCTTGTATTTTTCAAATCATATGTTTTTTATGATTGTCTACTGTTGTACTGATAAATATCTCCTGGAGGCTAAACTATATCTTGGCTGCAAGTATGAAGCTGCGAAATCCTTCATTTTCTACAACTGATAGTGGTTGGTCATTAATTACGATGACGTTTAGCAACTTCTCGGTAAACATTCGAGCTCCGGGGCTTCAGCGGTGTGTTTTTTTCATTCAGTCCAGAGAAGGCAGTCTGATTTTGGTCAACCGCGCTCAGTCTGCCCCTCCTCCGAGACAGGCAGACTGAGCGCCAATGACCAAAATCTGACTGCCTTCTCCGGACTGAACGAAAATGACAAACCACTGAAGCCCCGGAGCTCGAATGTCCAGCATAAAACTAACTTTACCGCGGTTTAATGTGGTGCTATGGCTCTGCAGACATTGCACGATGCTGTCTTGTTTTGTGGTGTTTCTAGTGTAAAATACTTCCACACAGCGGACACGTTTCGATGAAAAGTTGGTTAGCCGTTAGCCACAGTGCTACTGCACGTTTTAGCTGGCTGCAAACTATGAAATGGATTTCCTGAATGTGAGGTGGGTCTTATTACTCTGGGTTCATGAGACGCGCCTCCGTTCAGAAAATCCATTCCATAGTTTGAAGCCAACATGCATCATGGATCGGAAATCTCTGCAGGTTGGATTGGGAAAATACGATACGTAAATTATGCTGGTATCTGAGCCCGATACGGAGACTGGATCGGATCGGCCCCATGCCTAGTAAATATCACACAAATGTGTTTTCTATGTTAATGTTATTTATCGTCACAAAAGCATTACAATGTTACTTTATTGTTATGGTCCTTAACAAGCACATAATAGAGTTCCAAGCTGTAAACTCCAGCAAAGACAACATACAACGAATAAGTAATAACTGATCACATATTGGCTTCTTGAAGAGTCCTCCCATCAGCCCTTGTGACTTCAAATGAATGGTCAAAGGGTGTGTTTAGGGATACCAGTGAGATTAAGAAATATGACTGGCCTAAGTCCAACTCAAAAAATTCCATTTATAAAAGTCCCTCAAATTACCAAGTTTGAACTGTTTAAGAAACAGGTATTTAGTGTTTTTGTCATCATCGTACTTCTGTTTTAGAGCAATTGTGTGTGTTTTCATACTCAGTGACTTGTTCTTGATGGTCAGAGGGCACATGGACGATCTCGTAGCCCTCCTGCCTCAGGATATCCAGCACACTGTGATTTCCAAGGAAGTGACCTAACAGTGAGAAAAAACAGACCAAGGTCATGGGTTGAGGAAGGAACATAACTAAAAGTTATTAAAAAAGGCACTTTGACTTTGTTGCAATGTTTAACCTTTCCACCTAGTTCAGTTATGCATGGTCCGTGCTGGTATAAAACCTGCTAACACCTTCAACTGCAGAGTTAACCAACGTTTCAACTTTTTCTAACGTGTTATTTCAACTTGTAGGGCAGCAGTGGCTGAGTGGTTAGAGCAGTCGTCCTCCAATGCGAGAGTTGGGGGTTCGATTCCACCAACAGTCACATGTTGAAGTGTCCCTGGGCAAAACACTGAACCCCTCATTGCCTCTAATGTGTGTTTCATCAGTGTATGAATGTGATAAAGCTCCGATTAGTCTCTTTAGAATGATTTATTCAGATTATCTTTGTAGAGATGTAGTAGAGTGCTGCATGAATGTGTGTGCGGAGGTAAATGAGGACACAGATTGTGTTGTAAAGCATTTTGAGTATCTTGATTAGATTGAAAAGTGGTATATATGTACAATCCATTCACCATTTTTTAATGAAAAACATTTATCTCTGTTAAAATCCTGATCCACCATGCATGCACTGTTGTAATTAAATAATTTCTAAATTACACCTCATAGAGTGAGTGACATTGGCAAACCCTTTACTTTGTGCATCTTGATGACGTTATCTGTAGATTTTGTTTGGTCTAAACAAAAGCAATTTTTTAATAGAACTTTTTGCAACTTATTTGAATCCATTCTTATCAATAAATTATTTCCTGTTTCCTTTTTTCCCTCCTGACATGCTACCATCCATCCACTATCTTTACCCGCTTATTCCATTTTGGGTCACGGGGGTCGCCGGTGCCCATATCCAGCCATCACTGTGCGAGGGGCGGGGTACACCCTGGACAGGTCGCAAGTCCATCACAGGGACACATAGAGACAAACGAGACAAACAACCATTCACTCTCTCATTCACACCTAGGGACAATTTAGAGTTACCAATCAGCCTAACATGCATGTTTTTGGTCTGTGGGAGGAAACCGGAGCACCCGGAGAAAACCCACACATGCACGGAGAGAACATGCAAACTCCACCCAGAAAGGCCCCTGGACCGGGGTTTGAACCAAGGACCTGCTCGCTGAGAGGCAGCAGCTCTACCAGTTGCGCCACTGTGCTGCCCTGACATGTTACTTTTGGCTTTAAAGTTTTGCTTTTAACTTGGTCCAAATTAAAATTAAAATAGATCCTGTCAACCTCTGAATGCTAGGAAATGCCTTGAGACTGTGATTTTCCTTCCCTCACTATGGTGACATTATTTACATGAACGCTCCTACAAGCACCCTGCTTATGTTGGATGCTGTCTATTATGGTGCGCTAAGATTCATAACTGGCTGTAAACTACCGTACCCACCATTGCACCCTGTATTCACTGGTTAACTGGTCATCATTAACTTCACACACTCTCTCACTGGTACATTTTCATCTTTAAATAACTTCTTGGTCTGTTGCCTTCATACATCTCCTCCTACATGTCTCTGCATGAGTGCAGCTACAGCATGCGCTCTCAGGACATTATTACCTGCAGTGTCCCCTCAGTGCAGACTGAACTTGGCAAAAGGGCCTTCTCCTACTCCACTCCTGTTTCCTGGAATATCTTGCAAAAATATCTGAAGCTCTCAACCTTGACCTCTCTAAGTGGCTTCAAACATTTGTTAAGTTCAAGGCCAAAACCAATGCAGACATGTTCCTGTTTTTAGTTTTCTACACCGCCTTATAATTATTTTCACTTGTTATTCTCAATTTGTACGCATCCTTTGTGATTGTCATTTATTGTCTTTGTTGTCCACTGTTGTCATCACTCTGTTTAAAAAAAATCAGGTCTCTCTTGTAAATGAGTCCCTGAGACTCAATGGGATTAACCTGTATAAATAAAGGTTGAATGAAAAAACATTTTCCATGCATGCAATTTTATTTTGACCCCTTTCATGAATATTAGTCTGCCACCATCAAAACTTTCAAGGGCACTAATCATTTGTGGACTTTTAAAGGCAACAGTTAAATGCCTTTTATGCCGTCACTTGCTCCTCTGTAATGACCTCGTTGTCTAACCTTTGGCCTCTAATCGTCCCTCAGTCGTGATTCCTTCAATTTAACATCAAACACGTGGCCCTTGGCCTCACACTGATGAAAGTTATTTTTGTTTTTGTCAGCTAATAATCCTGTCACTCAACCCAACAAAAAGCTGTTATATAGCCTGACATCACCTTTGCAACACACATACCATAACAGAGGAATTCATATTCATGCCCACCCAAACCTTCACGCTCAGGAATTCACTCACTCTCCTCAGCCTTCTCCTGCACTTTATTACCATGTTGATAGCCCTCCAGCCTCTGATTTGCTTTCTGTCGAACCCTCCGCTCCCACTCGTCCCTTCACCTCTTGCCATCATTAAAATGTACCAAATCATTCCAAGAGACATGCACAGTTACACTTTTTGGCAGCTGAGTTCAAAGGCAGCTCTGGGATTGGCTGCAGAGTGAGAGGAGGCTTCTAACAACAGTATTAGTCAGTCGAAATAGCATTAGTGAGAGGTTTCTCTATGTAAAAGGAAATATCAATATCTGTGCGTGTGTGTGTGTGTGTGTGGGGGGGGGGGGGGCATTTTGAGCTTGTGCAAACAGTTCTGCTTTTCTGCAGCAGCTTTTGTTTTCAGATCTAAAGGCCACCTCCAGCTTCTATAATCATCCATGTCCTGAACTTTGGTCAATATGTTTATGAAATGGGTAATTATAACTTGAGTTTCCCAGTTTTTCATCTACACCCGCCATCAAGTCAACGTTTAATCATTTGCTCGTAAGTATTGACTTTTAGTGTCTTTATTGGCTTTAAGTACTGCACTAAACCTGAAACATGATTAAGCTGCTTCTAAATCTGACTCAGCTGCACAAAAGTTTAATTACTACTGAGACTGATTCTTCCATCCTCTCCCCTTCTATTACAATCTTCTTGCTTTCATCCCCTTCATCTAACTAGATGTTGGGGCTAAAGGCAACTCATTCAGTGGCCGCATGTGGACAGATTCAACCTCCTTCATATCTTTGTCAAACAGCTATTTCATTAATTTCTGCAAGCTGGGGGGCAGAGGACAATCTGTCCAATGTGTCTGCTTTGTGTGAGGTCAAGCTCACTGTTTCATGTGTTGACTTGATTTCTTCTGCTCTGACATTATTCACAACCCACAAAGACATGGTTTGCGTGTGAATGACTTTTTGTTTGTATCACAAGATTGTAGTTCTTCCAAGTGGACAAACATTAACATATACAAAAAAAAGGGCCAAAAAAAAAAAAAAAGCACACACACAAAGGTACCAGAGACAAACTGCCTCTCTAGCAAGTTCACATGAAAAGCTTTTCCTGTAAGAAATATAACAAAAAAATACATCTATTTACATGCATGGGATTAATTAATAGAGCTTACTCAGGCTATTAATTATGGTAAATGGTAAATGGACTGTACTTATATGGCACCTTTTTATCTAATCAAGATACTCAAAGTGCTTTAACACAATCTGTGCCCTCGTTTACCTCCACACACACATTCATACAGCTCTCTACTACATCTCTACAAAGATAATAGAAATAAAGAGACTAATCAGAGCTTTATCACCTTCATACACCGATGGGACACAGATCAGAGGCAATGAGGGGTTCAGTGTCTTTCTGACATCACTATCTGAGGCAGATAATGACTTTGAACTGAAATAATCTCTCCTATAACAGATCTAGATTGAAATTAGCCTGTTTCTTTGTTTCAGTTCTTCCCTCATCTGAATATATTTCAGAGATTATCACACCCGTCCTGTGTTTTGTCATTACTTCTCCCAGCATGTCGAGTTCAAGGTTTCTTATTGTTATTTGATTTGTGCTCACATTAGGTCACAAACATGGTTCATCATTTTCTCTACCTCTAGGTTTTAATCAGACTCCCTGTCTTTGTTGTACCGTGGATTTGTTTTTTATATAAAAAAAAAAAAAAATGTATATATATATATATAATTTCCCATGATCTGTCTCTATGCTGGACCTCACCACACACTTCACTGCATTGACAGTTTGTTGTGTTCCCAATTGTTGAAAAGCGCCGAGTTCTATAAAGGCTTACTTTGCACACAAACAAGGTGTCATTCAGTAAAAAGACAAAAAACATTTTTTTTAGGATTCTTTAAGAGTTAAATAGTTGTTTCAGAGTTCTCTAAAATATGTTTATTTATTTATATTGCGTATGTGTGTGTGTGTGGGTGGGGGTGTGTGGGGGGGTGTCTTTTCATTTAAGAACAGTGGCGTGTGTGTTTGCATGCATGTAGGTTTTGTGGTTCATCTCCATGTGTGGTTGAGTGAAAGAAAATAACTCTTGAATACATGTGGGAGGCTTAGTTTGTGTGTTTGTTTGTAGAGTTTCCAGACAGTAAATTGTGTGGTGCTTTAGAAGCAAAGAACTGGCCCAACAAACAATTCCATTAGTCCACACAAAGTAAGAGGTCAGTTTATGCCTAATTTAGAAGCCTAAGCCTGTCTGGAATTATAGTGGACTGTAAAACTTGTTGCTCAAATCTCACTGTTTCTAGTCTTGCAGATGCTCAGTTAGTAATTTTCCACCAGAGACTTTAATAAAAAAATGAGAACAGTGAGAAAACTAAAGCAAGTAATTTAGATTTTTTTTTTGTTGCCATTTTAAATATTTCCCCCCACTAGGTTCCCAATGGACTTGGCCAACTAATGAAAGATAGTGACTTCAGCTAGACATGTAAAATTTTAAGTAAAACTAATAACTTTCTTAGATTTTCTCAGACTAGTTTGCTAAAGATAACATAAAACTGACAATATATATGACTTGTATGACACAAACAGCATGGGACTGTGACTTCACACCATTTATAATTACTCTCATAGAAATATATGTTGTTGGTAATTTGCTGTGACCTCTAATAGAACTGATGTA